GCGCTGTGCGGGAATATGCGATCGCTGATTTAACCGATGCCACACTGTTGGTCGAAAAGAAAAACTCTCTCCGATCACGTCTGTCACCGGTTGCTCCAGGTGTTGTGAGCAAGGTTGGTTTGTTTGCTTCAGACAAAAATTTTCAGACCTCTTGTGGCACACAACCATCGGGTTGCACATGTCTACCAAATTGCCGGAATGTGTGGTCTAACGGCGCTGAAAACGAGTAGCGAGAAAGCACGATGTGCGGAATTTCCGGAATTGTCTCCAGACACACGCAACCGGCCTTGGAAGATCTGTTGGAACTTCAAAGAAGCCTGGCTCATCGAGGACCGGATGCAAGCTCGCACTACTGCAAAGGTCCCGTCGCACTCTCTCACAATCGCCTGAGCATTATCGACATCGATACGGCCAACCAGCCGTTTTTCGATAATGACAAGTCTCTCTGTCTGATTGCCAATGGCGAGATATATAATTTCAGCGATATCCGTGCGCACTATCAAAAGCACGGCTACAGTTTCACGTCGAAAAACTCCGATTGTGAGGTGATCGTTCCATTGTACATCGAGCATGGAATTGATTGCCTCGAAAAGCTGCGCGGCATGTTCGCCTTTTCTCTATGGGATGCCGAACGTCAAAAACTGATTTTGGCGCGCGACAGAATGGGTGAAAAACCGCTCTATTTTCATGTTTCACAAGACCACTTCGTTTTTTCATCCGAACTCAGGTCGATCGCATCGTCGCGTCTTGTCGACACTTCAGTCAGCCACAGGCAGATCGCAAGGTATTTCCGATACAAATACGTTCCTGAACCCCATACGCCGTTTGAACATGTCCAGAAACTGCCTGCCGGTTCATATCTTGAATTGGATATCGCGACCTGGAGCTACGAAATCAAACAATACTGGAGCCCCTGGGACGCAAAACCGGTTACCGGAAACCCGACTGAAGAAAGCAGGCAATCACTCGAAGATGCCATCAAAACGTGTATCGTCTCGGACGTTCCCATGGGATTGAGTTTAAGCGGAGGCATCGACTCGTCGATCCTCGCTTGCATGTTGACCGAATACAGTTCCAAACCACTTCAGATATTTTCTGTCGGATACCCCGATGCACCCGAGGTTGACGAACGCGCACAAGCAAAGCAGCTCGCGGATCGCCTGTCACAACCATTCCACGACATTGAAATTACAGACGACTATGTCGTTGATGCATTCGAGGATCTTGTGTTCAGCCGCAACGATCCGATTTCTGATATCTCCGGATTCAGTTGCCTTGTGATCATGCGCAAGGCACATGAGCATGGCGTCAAGGTCATGTTTCAAGGGCACGGGCTTGATGAACTTTGCTGGGGCTATCCCTGGATACAAGATGCTGTTCTGATCAATGAGGGGAAGTGGTACGGCCGACGAATTGGTGGATTTCGCGGTGCAAGAAAACGCATGACTGCACAGTTCAAGGGAGCTCTGGCTGGTATTTTCAGCAACGACAAACGTTTGAAAATGTTCGATCTTCAAGCGCCCGTTGAGTTTATCGATCAGAATTTCACAAAATGTTTTGGCACGCAATTTCTCGAAAAGTCGGGTTGGCCGGGAATGGACCCGATCGAAGAATACGGAGAACGTTCCAAACGCGTTGATCTGGATGTCACCAGATTGATTGTCGATTACTATCTTGCAGAAAATGGAATTGCACAGGGTGATCGGATCTCGATGGCGAGTTCGATCGAGATGCGACTGCCATTTGTCGACTACAAACTGGTCGAGACATTTGTCGGGCTCAGAAAACAAGCTCGTGACGATCAATTGCCTCCCAAGCACCTGTTGAAGGAAAGTGTTCGAGATCTCTTGGGAGACGAGATTTTGAACAGGCCGAAGCGCGGTTTCGAACCGCCCGTACATGCTTGGTACAATGCGTTGCTCAACGCTCACGGTGAGATTTTCGAAAATGGTCATCTCGAGAACCATCAGATCGTTCGACGCGATTTTGTCGACAAGGCGCGTAAACCGGAAAGTATGAGCAGGCGCGAACGCGAGGTTGCCTGGGCTGCGCTCAACCTGGAAATGTGGTTTCGTTCGCTGGATCGCTCCAGCGAGGCCTCTCTTGATGAATGGCGTACAATAGGCTGGTCGCGGCGCATATTTTTCGTTTTGGTCGGCTCCAATATCTCTCACGGCGGTCAGGGGGATTCGAAACTGACCGTGAAAATTGTTGTAGTCAGCGAATTTTTCGTACCGGGTAGCCAGGTTTCCTTAGTTCGAAGCCGGTCTTGGTCGTTTTGAAACCCCGGTCTTGGTAGAACCGGTGGGCGCGCAGATTTTGCGACCCTGACATCAGCATGATCTTGTAGCAGTCTGCCTTCCAGCAAAGGTCAATCGCTTCCGGCAGCAACCGACCCCCGATACCCTTGCCGCGACAGGAAGACAGCTTGGCAACGTTTTCCAGCAGTGCGTAAGAGGCGCAACCTCACGTCAGGTTCGGCACGACGACCACGGTGATAGTCGCAACAGGTTCACCGTCAAGCAGAGCCAGCAATATGCTCAGACCTGGCTGTGCCAGCATTTGAATGAATGTTCTTTCCTTGAGAGATAGAGGCGCATCAAGGTCTTCCGCGTTGAGGTCGTGATAAAGCGAAAGAATGCCTGGAAGGTCATCTCGTCCGGCTGGCCGGATCACAAAATATTTTCTGACGAATTCGCTTCTCGTTGCATAGACAAAAAAGCCCGCCTGACAGGCGGGCTCTCCAAAAGAACAATCAGTCTATGTTGATGTGATCTTCGGGTGTCAGACCCAGGCGGCCATCGACATAGGTACCGCAGCGCTGGAGCAAATCGTCCATGTCGTTTTCAAAGAAATGATTGGCGCCGGGGATTGTCTCGTGATCGATCACAATGCCTTTTTGGGTTTTCAGCTTGTCGACCAGGGTCTGGACATCCTTTTGCGGGACAACCTTGTCGTTGTCACCATGAATGATCAGACCTGAAGAAGGGCAAGGGGCAAGAAACGAGAAATCATGCAGGTTCGCCGGTGGAGCGACGGAAATGAAGCCCTCGACTTCGGGGCGGCGCATAAGCAACTGCATACCGATCCAAGCGCCGAAAGAAAATCCGCCGATCCAGCAGGCACGAGCATCTGGATGAACAGTCTGCACCCAATCGAGTGCCGCGGCCGCGTCGGACAATTCACCCTGTCCATGATCAAATGTGCCCTGAGACCGGCCCACGCCGCGAAAATTGAACCGAAGGACAGCAAATCCTCGCCGCGCGAACATGTAATACATTTGGTAGACAATTTGGTTGTTCATTGTACCGCCGAATTGCGGATGCAGATGCAGAACCAGGGCAATTGGTGCGTTGCGTTTTTTCGCGGGATGGAACCGGCCCTCGAGCCGGCCGGCGGGACCGTTGAAGATCACCTCAGGCATGAAGCGCTATGTCCTTGTCATTTTGTCGCGCCACGTTGGGCGGGCGCGGGAATTGGAGTTCTGTCTACGTGGTTTCCCGTAAGTCTAAACTTGACTCTTAGCCTCCAAGTTTCTAGAACCCTGTTTAGAATTATTCGAAAGTTTGCACCACCCCCCAAAAGGCAGGCGAGCTCGGTTCGACCGGTTGGGAGGTGTTATCGTCATCACAGCGGAAAATATCAAGTTTTTCGAACATGTGCTTGGCATTTCAGTGAATTTTCGATGCCGTGAAACCGTCGATCTTGACTTTTGAGGGCTCATGTCACGTCGATCAGACCCGATTTATCTCGATCACAACGCCGGTACGTCTTTGCGTGCCGGTGCGCGCGAGACCATGATCGAGGTGATGAACGACACGGGAAACGCGTCTTCGGTGCATGCACACGGGCGACGGGCGCGCGGCCGGATAGAAGAAGCAAGAGAGCACGTTGCGCGGCTTTGCGGCGAAAAAACCAGGGCTGTCACATTTGCTTCAGGTGGCACGGAAGCCAACATGACGGCGCTTTCGCCGGTCTGGCAGGACCAGGGCGCTCCAGTCTACCTCGACAAGCTCTACAGAAGCGCGGTCGAACATCCATCGGTCTTGACTGGTGGAAGGTTCGCTGTCGCCGACCAGGTCGTCATTCCAGTGGATTGCGATGGCGTCTTGCAGCTTCAGGAGCTGAAGAAAGTCTTGAAAGATGCAGAGCCGGGACTGGTGTCGGTCATGGCTGCGAATAACGAGACCGGTGTCATTCAACCGGTCGCGGAAATCGGCGCGGCTGCGCGTGAATGCGGCCATTTTTTCCATGTGGACGCTGTGCAGGCGGCAGGACGCATCAAGATAGATATGGAGGCCTGGCAGTCCGATATTGTGACGCTGTCCGCTCACAAGATCGGCGGGCCCCAGGGAATTGGTGCGACTGTCGTTCGTTCAACTGCGCGGGCTCCTTCTCCGTTGATGATTGGAGGCGGTCAGGAGAACTGGCGCAGGGGTGGAACGGAAAATGTTGCCGCAATCACGGGATTTGGTGCTGCGGCAATTGAAGCACTTGAAGAGACATCCGAAACGCGCCATGTGCTTGATCTGAAGACCCAGCTGGAAGCAGCGCTTCGACGTATTTGTCCGTCAACGGTGATTTTCGGTGAAAATGTCGACCGTCTCGCAAATACCTGCTGTTTTGCCGTGCCTGGCATTCCCGCCGAAACTGCATTGATCGCTTTTGATCTGGAGCGCGTATCTGTTTCGTCCGGATCTGCCTGCTCTTCCGGGAAAGTTTCGGTATCGCATGTGCTGACCGCAATGGGTGTGGAAGAGAGCCTTGCGCGATGCGCTCTACGGATCAGTCTGGGCTGGAACACTTCCAGCGCAGACATCGCAGGCTTTCTTGATGTCTGGCCGAAGATAATCGACAGGCTCAATCCCGACGCGCGCCACGAGGCGGCGTGACCGGATAGTTCTGCGGGAAACCGCCGGAGTAATGGCGCAGGAAGAAAATGATCCTGCGCGCTGAATGATCAAGAAACGGGCGTGGTGCCCGTCAAATGGAGGCAAGGGATGCCAGCTGTACAGGAAACCATCGATCAGGTGAAAGCCATCGATGTTGACCAGTATAAATACGGCTTTGTAACCGACATCGAGTCGGAAAAAGGCGCAAAGGGTCTTTCGGAAGAGACCGTCCGTTTTCTGTCTGCCAAGAAGAACGAACCGGAATGGATGACAGAATGGCGTCTCGACGCGCTGCGCCGTTTCAAGCAGCTCGAAGAGCCGAGTTGGGCACGTGTTTCCTATCCCAGGATCGATTTCGACGATCTCTATTACTGGGCGGCGCCGAAATCCGTCGAGGGTCCGAAGAGCCTTGATGAGGTCGACCCAGAGCTCCTGGAAACTTATGCAAAGCTCGGTATTCCGCTTGCAGAGCAGGAAATTCTGGCCGGTGTGGAGCCGAAAAACCGCGTCGCGGTCGACGCCGTCTTCGATTCGGTTTCCGTCGTCACAACCTTCAAGGAAGAGCTGAAGAAGGCCGGGGTGATATTCTGCTCGATCTCTGAGGCACTGCGGGAATATCCGGACCTTGTAAAGAAGTATCTCGGTTCCGTGGTTCCGGTTACCGACAATTTCTACGCGACGCTGAATTCGGCCGTCTTTTCCGATGGATCCTTCGTCTATATCCCGGAAGGTGTTCGCTGCCCGATGGAACTGTCGACCTATTTCCGCATCAATGAACAGAATACCGGACAGTTCGAACGTACGCTGATCATTGCCGAAAAAGGGTCCTACGTTTCCTATCTGGAAGGCTGCACGGCGCCGCAACGTGACGAAAACCAGCTGCATGCCGCTGTTGTCGAACTTGTTGCGCTCGATGATGCGGAAATCAAGTATTCCACGGTGCAGAACTGGTTCCCTGGTGACAAGGACGGCAAAGGCGGTATCTACAATTTCGTCACCAAGCGTGGTGATTGCCGCGGCAAGAACTCGAAGATCTCCTGGACACAGGTCGAGACCGGTTCCGCGATCACCTGGAAGTACCCGTCCTGTATTCTTCGCGGCGAAAATTCGCGCGGCGAGTTCTATTCCATCGCTGTTTCCAACGGCTATCAGCAGGTCGACAGCGGTACCAAGATGATCCATCTGGGAAAGAATTCCTCCAGCCGGATTATCTCCAAAGGGATCTCTGCAGGCCGATCACAGAACACCTATCGCGGACTGGTCTCTGCGCACCGGAAGGCGTCGAACGCGCGCAACTTTACCCAGTGCGATTCGCTGCTGATCGGACAGGACTGCGGCGCTCACACCGTGCCCTATATCGAAAGCAAGAATGCATCCGCGCAATTCGAGCACGAGGCGACGACTTCCAAGATTTCGGACGACCAGATGTTCTATTGCCTGCAGCGGGGATTGTCAGAAGAAGAGGCGGTTGCACTGATTGTCAACGGTTTCGTCAAGGACGTCATCCAGCAACTGCCGATGGAATTTGCTGTCGAGGCGCAGAAGCTGATCTCGATCAGCCTGGAAGGATCTGTTGGCTAAGTAGTAGCGTTAGTGGCGAGGCTGAACGAGAAATGGGGCGTGGATTGGAGTACGAGGAATTGGGCATTGCGCAAGCCCAGATTACTGCAGCAAAGACCCGGATGTCAGGAAAAAACGGCCTCAAAGTGCAACACAGATATGTGCGGTTGTATCTCGTAGAACTTTTGTTCGGAGTGCTTTTTGGAATGTTGCTGTTTGCGTCAGCAATATTCTGGATTTCCGATCAGAGTTTAGTTGCCTACGCAGTTTGGCCCTTGATTGTCGTGACCATCGGGTACGTTGCCATCAAAATCTGGAATGTCGTCGCAGTACGCAAAAAAAGAGCTGAAGATCTTCGTCATTTGGCGATTGAAAGAGAAAAAACGGAACACGAGACGGAAGCAAATAATGCTTGAGATCAAAAACCTTCACGCCCGCATTGCGGAAGACGAAACGGAAATCCTGCGCGGCGTCAACCTGACTGTCAATCCGGGCGAAGTGCACGCCATCATGGGGCCGAACGGATCGGGAAAGTCAACGTTGTCCTATGTTCTTGCAGGCAAGGACGACTATGAGATCACCGAAGGCGAAGTACTGTTCAACGGTGAAAACATGCTGGACATGGACCCCGACGAACGTGCGGCCGCCGGCATGTTCCTGGCGTTCCAGTACCCGATCGAGATCCCGGGTGTCGCGACCATGGAGTTCCTGAAGACGGCGATGAATGCGCAGCGCAAGGCGCGGGGCGAGGATGCATTGTCGATCCCGGATTTCATGAAAAGAGTCAAGGCGGCAGCCAACCATCTCAACGTTTCAATGGACATGCTGAAGCGTCCGCTCAATGTCGGGTTCTCGGGCGGTGAAAAAAAACGGGCTGAAATTTTGCAGATGTCGCTGTTGGAGCCGAAGCTCTGCGTCCTCGATGAAACGGATTCAGGTCTCGACATCGATGCGCTGCGTATCGTGTCGGAAGGTGTCAACACGCTGCGTTCGCCGGAGCGCGCCATGGTGGTGATCACGCACTACCAGCGTCTGCTTGACCATATCGTTCCGGATGTCGTTCATGTTCTTTCCAAGGGCCGCATCGTCAAGACAGGCGACAAGGATCTGGCGCTGGAGCTGGAAAAGAACGGTTATGCAGATTACGTCGATGCGGCGGCCTGAGGGAGTAACGCGACATGAATGCCAGCGTGCCCATTAAACACACTCAGGCTGAAAGCGATCTTTTTGAACGCTTTGAGAGCGCCAGAGAGGCCTTGGCGGGGTCGGTTGCTGTCTCCGCACTTCGCGAGGCGGCCGTCGACCAGCTTCGCGATCGGGGACTGCCGCACCGCCGGGTTGAAGAATACAAGTATTCCGATCTGCGCGCCTTCATGAAAGCCGCTGCGCCGCTCGCAACTGCAGCAGATCTTTCCCGTGTTCAGGCCATTCTTGAAGATCAGGACCTTTTCGGTGGACTGGAGCGGTACAGGATCGTCATTGCCAACGGTTCATATCTGCCGACGTTGTCTGACGTCGATGCATTGGCAACTGAGGGAGTAACGGTAACAAATCTGAACGACGCTCTTTCAGGTGAGCACGGCGCACAGCTGCTTGCGCCCCCCAAATCGGGACAGAATGATGGCGTCGTTGCGCTCAACACCGCGTTTGTTCAAGGTGGCGTGATTGTCGATGTCGCCGAGGGTGCAGCCGTATCAAAGCCGGTCGAACTGGTACAGGTCGCCGCGTCTTCCGGCGCACAGGCAACCCGGATCAAGGTGAGAGCGGGGACCGGCGCAAGCCTGCATTTGCTGGAGACCTTCATCGGCGATACGGCGGAGGGCGAGGTCAATTCCGTCTTTGACTACGACATAGCCGACAAGGCGCATCTTGCGGCGACACGACTTATCGTTGGCAATTGCGATTCAGCGCGACTGCTCACGACCATCGCAACCATCGGTGCAGAAGCGGAATTCAGGTCACTGGGTTTCATGGCCGGTCCGAAATTCGCCAGAAACCAGCAGTTCATCAATTTCGTTGGAGAGAATTCCGAGGCGAAGATTTACGGTGTCACGATGGTTGGTCGCAATGATCTGGCCGATCAGACGCTGATCGTTGATCACGCGGTTCCGCATTGCAACAGTCGCGAGTTCTTCAAGACGGTACTCGACGGTCGGGCCAAGGGTGTCTACCAGGGGCGCATCAATGTTGCCCAGCATGCCCAGAAGTCCGACGGTGAAATGATGACCCAGGCCTTGCTCCTTTCCGAAGAAGCGGAAATGGCAAACAAGCCCGAGCTGGAAATTTTTGCCGACGACGTAATCTGTGCGCATGGTGCGACCAGCGGACAGATTGACGAGGACCTTCTTTTTTATCTACGTGCTCGTGGCATTCCCGAGGCTGAAGCGAAAACGCTGCTGGTGCTCGCGTTTCTTTCTGAAGCGATTGAGGAATATGGCGAAGACGATGTGACGGAAGGGCTGGAAGCGCGCGTACGCGACTGGCTTGCAAGTCACTAGGTCGCTTGCCGGCCTATTGAAAACAAGGAGCAGTGCCGAATGACGGTCGCGACTGCACAAGACATGACACAGACGTCCGGCTATGATGTCGAGGCGATCCGGCGTGATTTCCCGATCCTTTCGCGGGAGGTCTACGGCAAGCCGCTCGTTTATCTGGACAACGGTGCGTCAGCGCAAAAACCGAAGGCTGTCATAGATGCCGTAACCAGGGCCTATTCCGAAGAGTATGCCAACGTGCACCGAGGCCTGCACTTCCTGTCCAATACGGCCACCGACAATTATGAGGCGGCACGGGAAAAGGTTCGTCGTTTCCTAAACGCCAAATCAGTCGACGAGATCGTCTTCACAAAGTCGACCACGGAAGCGATCAACCTGGTGTCCTACGGCCTTGGTCCGGACTATTTTGGCGAAGGCGATGAAATCGTGATCTCCATCATGGAGCATCATTCCAATATCGTACCCTGGCATTTTCATCGAGAACGGCACGGATCGAAGCTGAAATGGGTCTATGTCAGGGAAGATGGCTCCTTCGATCTGGACGCATTTGTCGATACGCTGAGCGACCGCACCAAGCTGGTCGCCATCACGCACATGTCGAACGTGCTTGGGACGGTGGTCCCCGTAAAGGAGATTTGCCGGATTGCGCATGAGCGCGGCATCCCGGTTCTGGTCGACGGCAGCCAGGCTGCAGTGCATTTGCCGGTCGATGTCCAGGATCTGGACTGCGACTACTACGTCTTCACTGGCCACAAGGTTTATGGTCCGTCTGGAATAGGTGTGCTCTGGGGCAAGCCTGAACGCTTGAATGCTTTGAGACCGTTCAATGGCGGCGGTGAGATGATCCTCGACGTTACCGAAGAGGCAATCACCTATAATGATCCTCCGCACCGGTTTGAAGCCGGTACACCGCCCATCGTTCAGGCGATCGGACTGGGCGCTGCGCTGGACTACATGGATGAAATCGGGCGTGAGAACATCGCACGCCACGAAGCGGACCTGAAAGACTACGCTCACCAGAAACTCAGGGAAATCAACTCCCTCAGGATTTTTGGTGAGGCACCGGGCAAGGGCGCGATCGTTTCATTCGAGATCGAGGGTGCGCACGCACATGATGTTGCCACGATTATCGACCGGGCAGGGGTAGCAGTCAGAGCGGGCACGCATTGCGCACAGCCGCTCTTGGCAAGATATGGTGTAACCTCTACATGTCGGGCAAGTTTCGGGCTTTATAACACGCGCGAAGAAGTTGACGCGTTGTATGATGCCCTTTTGAAGGCACAGAGCTTTTTCGGGTAAGGACGGACCCAAGATGGAAAACGCGACGACGATAGACACGGGTGCGGATGGCGAGGAACTTCAGGCCGAAGTCACTGCCAAAAGCGCCATTCCAGTTGACGAACTCGACCGCCTGACGACTGATATCGTCGGCGCGCTGAAATCGGTATACGATCCGGAAATCCCGTGTGACATCTATGAGTTGGGATTGATCTACAAGGTCGATATCGAAGATGACCGGTCGATCAACATCGACATGACCCTCACAGCACCAGGTTGCCCTGTTGCCGGTGAAATGCCTGGTTGGGTGCAGGATGCTGTTTCGGCAGTTGCCGGCGTCGGTCCGGTCAATGTCGATATGGTGTTCGATCCGCCATGGACACCGGATCGCATGTCGGACGAGGCGAAAGTCGCCCTTAACTGGTATTGAGTTCGAAACCTTTTATCCGATAAGCTGACAACCTATATCAGGTTTTGGATAGTTGACGCTTAGCGAGGACTGAATGGCTTCCGGTGGAAAATTCCAGGTCATGACCATGACTGACGCTGCCGCAGAGCGTGTCAGGGAACTTGTCGAAAACACGGACGAGAACGCCGCTGGCTTGCGTGTCGGAATCACAAAAGGTGGTTGTGCCGGAATGGAATACACCATGAACCTGGTGGAAGATGCCAAGCCAGGCGATGACGTGATCGAGGACAAAGGAGCAAAACTCTTCGTTGATCCCTCTGCCGTGCTGTTTCTTCTTGGCACGGAAATGGATTTCGAGGTCACCAAATTCCGGTCTGGCTTTGTCTTCAAGAACCCGAACGAAGTATCTGCTTGCGGCTGTGGCGAGTCTGTTTCGCTTCAGGCAGCAGATGTAAATGAGCTGGCGCGGTAAAGCTGCAAGCGGACAAACTCCCTCCCAAGAGATCTCAATGAACCTGTTTGAACGGCTCAAGGTTGATGCCGCGCCGCAATGGCAAGATTACACCAAGCACGCTTTTGTCGAGCAGCTTGGCAGTGGGAAATTGCCGCTCGAATGTTTCAAACACTACCTTGTTCAGGACTACTTGTTCCTGATCCAGTTCGCCCGGGCATATGCGCTTGGCATTTACAAAAGTCCGGCAATCTCCGATATGCGTCACTCCCTGGAGGGTGTGAAAGCCATCCTTGACGTTGAACTCGAGCTTCACATCGAAATCTGCGGACGCTGGGGGATGCGACGGGAGGAAATTGAGCGCGCTTCGGAAGATACACCTACGATG